TTAGTGATTCACAGGATTGCTAAATCCTAGAAACAAAAACGTTTGTACAACATAGTTTTGTGTTTGTACAGTCAACGGCAGACACTGCTATTTTTTTGAACACACCCTTTTTAACTAATTGCCCAATTGCACAGCCTTAAGAGCGTGCATATCATGAATGCTGGGTCTTGTTTGCTTTCTGAGAATCTACTGCACCTACTGGTAACTTGTTTGCCATGTAGCAATAAAAAATATACTAAAAACCTGGATTATTCTGGTTAGTCACATTGTACTGCTATTATTTTGAACAATACTGTAAATGAACCTCACCCTCCAGTGTGTTACCTGTCTGTTCAGTTCTGCCGCCATGCTGTCCATAAATGTGACCTACAGGATGTGGTCCCATCACAGTAACAGAGCGCCACCCCGTCATGCGACTGCCAATACACAATACTGACGCTGCATTTTCAGAGTGAATGTGCTTGCGATGAAATATGTACAGGTGCATGAAGGCAGAGCTACTATTATGCATCTGTTGCCTCTCAGAGTCTCCGAATTAACTGATGAACTCTAACACTGGCTGGTCTTTTCTGGGCAGATGAAATGCTCCTTGTCTTCTCCTGCTGCACCCATGCCAACATGGTTCTCCCTGCTGGTCGTGCCGTTCCCCTGGGTGCCGCTGCTGTTTAAAGGATGCTGAAGTTGGCGCTGGTGCTCCACACTGTGCCACATGCCATAGCCAAAGTAGATCAGGAAACCTGAGAGAAGTGTTGGAAGAGATAAAATACCAGAAAAACCCACTATGGCATGAAATCTATGCTGACCATCTAATGTTTGACAAGTGAAATTTTTAAAAATGTCAAACTATTCATTTAAATATTCATAATGGGTCATGGCTGTTCATAGTTATTGAGCACTCACCCACAGCCATCCACACAGAGAATCGGATCCAGGTGTCTCCACTCAGCTGAACCATCAGATAAATATTGACAAATATGCTCAGAATGGGCAAAAAAGGCAGAAGGGGAACCTGGGATGGCAACAAGCACATCAGTTTTGATGAGTTACATCTACCCAGTACCACTGTGCAGTACCTGCTGAGCTGCTACACACCATGAAGGAGACCTTCTTGCTGGTCTGAGGCTGCCTGCAGACCATGAAGATGCAGCCGCTGAAGATGAGGAGACATGCAGACAGCAAAGCCAGGATCCACACTTCCATACCAAGGATGGAGTTGAAATGGTATGTGGAGAGATAGCTGACCACGCACACTACCAACACTGTGGTTTGAGAACACATACTTAATCCAGACTTGTAAAAAGACACCATATAAGAGCACCAGTTAATGCCGTTAACCTGGCTTGCATACCTAGTACACAGACGGATGTGTTGACCACACAGGAGGAACCCTCAGAGGGTGAGACAGGGGGATGTAGGATAGTCTGCAGCGTTGAGCTGCCACCTTTTAGCATGTTGAGGTGAGACTCTGACTCTGTCAGGTCTGACTCGCCCTCTTCAGAGGACAGGTAGTCCCTCTCACCTGTACCTGCACGCCGCTCCAGAGCTCCAATAGGCTGATACCTGGAGGTCAGAGGCATCAAAGGGTCATTTTACTACAGTCTAAAGAACAAAAAGCCACACTGCTGCTCTCTAAATAAAAAGTTCAGTGTTTTTTTGGGTCTTTAAGTACTGCATGTTTATGTTCAGTATAACCTCTATACAGATACAAATTACTTAGGTTGTATTTAAAGCTATTTTGTTTTAACACACAAGCCAACTAAAGTCTATAATTTGGGTTTAACACAGAAAAGAAACACTGTTTACTGTGGCGATGAGTCACATTAGTGCGACCACCATACAATACAATACATACCATACAAATGTAAATGAATTGTGGAATGTTGTTAAAGAATCATGGAGTGGATTAACAGCTGAAAGGTGCCACAAGTTGGTTGACTCCATGCCACACAGATGTGAAGCAGTTAAAAAACTGTGGTCATACAACTAAATATTAGTTTAGTGATTCACAGGATTGCTAAATCCTAGAAACAAAAATGTTTGTACAACATAGTTTTGTGTTTGTACAGTCAACAGCAGACACTGCTATTTTTTTGAACACACCCCTTTCAACTAATTGCCCAATTGCACAGCCTTAAGAGCGTGCATATCATGAATGCTGGGTCTTGTTTGCTTTCTGAGAATCTACTGCACCTACTGGTAACTTGTTTGCCATGTAGCAATAAAAAATATACTAAAAACCTGGATTATTCTGGTTAGTCACATTGTATTGCTATTATTTTGAACAATACTGTAGGTGTACAACAGAAACTTAAGTAAACACTTTCATTCACTCAGTCAGTCAGCCACTTTACATTCATAAGACGGGGGCATTCACAGCTTTTACATCACCACTGTGGTGCAACAGCTTGAGGTGCAGAGTACATTTCACATGGTACCAGGGTACTCATGCCTGTGGCTTTCGGAAAAACACTTAGGGAAGCTGTTACACAAGGCTGTACAACCACGTTTTCCTGCAAATGATCATTATAAAGCTATATTCTAGAAACGTACCCACCTGAGGATCAGTACGCACACAGCAACCAGTGAGTAGGCCAGAAGAGTCCCAATGGACATCATGTCAACCAGGGCTTTCAGGTCAAACAGGAAAGCCATGATGGCTACAGTGAGCAAACCACACGATTAACACAAACGTTTTCGCCTTTAAAAGAACACTTATGTGAAATTACTGATCATTCTCACAAAACACTTGAAAGTTTACATTTAGTTGTACAATAACCTTAATGTTCTTGATATACAAACAGAAAAGCTGCTTTTATCAGGTGCACCATGAACCAGGGATCCACAAGGAAAGGACAGGTTAAATTTCATGCAGACATGTTTTAATAAAAGAAAGAAAGAAAGAAAAAAAAAAGACGTTAAAGGTTTCCCGGGCTGACAGCTGTGACCACCTCCAAGTGCTGTTTGATGTGCTCGTCCCTCTCTTGTATCTCAGCGGCACACTTCAGACACAGAGCAGTGGTATGTCCCCTGCAGCTCACCACATTACATTATTAAAATAAAGTAAGAATCCCCTGCCCTGTTCGGTCAGGTGTTTAGTGCACGGCCTACGGTGCGGTGAACCCTCCCAGGGTTCACATCTGCCAGCTTCTTCCCCAGGTCATCCACCCCAACACCTGAGCACAGTGAGCACCATGCAGCTATGTACACCTACTTAGATGTAGGCACAGTATTCTTAACATTGTGAAAGCACCACATCAGTCCCCAAAGGCCAGCCTGTTTGAGTTTCTACTCAATATTAAAATACCACTTACATGTAAGAGTAAAATAAATGGAAGTGATTGTTTTGAAGTCTACTGAATTAGAAGCACTTAAGTAGCCAAAGGCTGCTGAGAGAAAGTGTCCTGTAATTTCATTATTGTGAAAGGACCAAAATATCACCATCAACATTATAACACTATAAATACACCTACTAAATATGATTTACCCCAGCGTGATAAGCTTCTCTATTTAAAAAAAAAACTGCCTTAGTGATTACCGTACAATAAACAAGAGTTTTAAAGGAAGTTGTCCTGATGAAGCTTTACAACCCCAAAGTAGCTTTAGATTAATGACAAGTGCTTAGCAGCTCTGTCAGGCTGTGCTTTGAGATAAATGCTAAAAAACAGCATGCCCCAGTAAAACGCTCACAATAACAATGCTAATATGTTAAGCAGGTATAATGTTTATTATATCCAGAAACTTAATTTAGCATGTTAGCCAACATTTACAGGCATTTGGACCAATTCAAATTTTGACCTTACGACAGGTATGGAACGGCCCTAAATTATTACAAACTCATCATCACGGGCTCATGAGTGCATGCACCAAATTTCATGCCAATCCATCCAACAGTTGCTGTATCTCAGACCAACTGACATTGCTAAAGCCAAGCCACCAGCATCGCTTAAAAATAAATAAATGGAATGAAAAACATTCCCGATGTTAAAATGCACTCAGAAAACTTTCCAGTAGTTATTTCTCTTATTTTATTTTTCTGAAAAAGTAACCAAAAGCCAGATGGCCCTGGCGCCTGGAGCAGTGAACACACTTCTTAAAATAAGAAAAGCAACTTAATGACGAGCATAATGGATTTGTCACATGCTTTTGAAAGCACAGTCACCAAGTTTAACATGCAGCCACCACTGACACCATTAATACTTGACAATGTGTACAAAAACATAAAAGCCAAACGCCAGACGATACGATGACATGACAGGCAAATCCATGTCTCGGAAGCTTACCCGCAGTGGTACCTGCTGCCATGGTGGCAGCCACAGGAGACTGGCGCTTACTCACTTTGGACATAAATTTGAACAGAATGCCATCTCGTGCCATGGCAAAGAGAATGCGCGGCAGAGGGAACATGGATCCCAACAGGCTAGGGAGAAGAGGGTTCATGGGTAAGCTGAGGGAATTCTGGGAAAGAAAACATGACACCTGCACAACTGTGAAAGAACACCATTGTGTATAGGGAGCAGAAACTTCCTGAAAACTGGATCATTTAAAGCAGAAGGTTTCAGTTCCAGGATGGCTGCACTGTATGAATGTGAGGGAAAGGAGAATCAAATGATTATCTGCATCTTTGTGTCTTTCATAGTTGATTGGTGGAGAAAGATTAGCAGGAGTGATCTCACTGGACGCTCCCTGGCTCTCACCTGCTACTACACCGGACATCATAGTGGCAATAAGTGGGGTCTTCGTCTTAGGATTGATTCGGGATAAGGCTTTGAAAAGCACCCGATCCGCTGCCATAGCATAGATTACACGGGGCATAGGGAAAATGGAGCCCAGCAGACTGCATGAGACAGCAGAGACATGCAAGACCAACACGTTAGTCAAGAACCCCAAATACAGACACGCATACACAGCTGCAGTCACATCAAAGCCTCAGAGCATGATCACAGTCAGTGAATGTTTTTCTTTCCTGTTGGCAACAGTCCTATACAATCATCATTTTCATCTTTTACATCTACTTAAAATAATGGAAGCCTCACTGGACATGCTCTCAGAGGAGAATGGCTGATGTCTTTGTTTAGCTACTCAGCCACTGAATACATACTAATGCCCTTAATAGTCAGGTTTCCATGTTTGAAATTATGTTTCAAATAGCTTTTTAAAGGGGTTTCATGAGCACTTGAGTCTTTACATTCCCCAGGAGTGTAAACATTCCCTTTACATATATAAAATGTGAATCAAAGTGGTTCCACAATTGGCAGAAATTGTAAAAACAATTGGCTGCATTGCAGAATAGTTTTCAAAACCGCCAAAAGGGCAGTACTTTAACATAAAATGCTAAATTTAATTCAAAAATTAAATGATTTGTGTCGAATGTGATAAATGACTGACTTGCACTAGTGTTTGCTGAAAAAACTGAAGAGGAAATTATAAAGCATACCGTCAGGGAAGAAAGACAGAATCAAGGCACACCAGAATATCACGTCATGACAAAACTGATATATGAACAGATACCTATATAGTAATACACAGACAGGTGACATATTAAAGGAAAACCCTGAATAAATGAGTGGAGAAACAATGAATGGTGATGCTGGCATGGTTTGGGTCCACGTGTTCTCTTAGAGAGAAGGGCCACTGCAAATCAATGCTAAGTGAGCATCTTTATCCTATGATGAAATATTTCTAACCTGATGGGAGCGGTCCTTCCCAGCATGACAGTGCCCCCATCCACAGGGCGCTGAATGCTTTGAGGAGTATGAAAATGATAAGTCATATGCTGTGGCTTTCACAGTCACCACAGTCTCTTCCTAAAGTCCATTGTCATCTCCACTGATTTGAGTGTGTTCAGTTCCAGGTTGTTGCGACCACACCACAAGGCCAGCTGTTCAACCTCCCAACACAGCTGCTGTTAAAAGTCACTTCTAATTGAGAATATGTCTGACAAAAAGTTGCAAATGACACCGCCATTTGGTCTTTTTGGTTGCGGAAGAACACTAAACAGAACTGCCAGTCAGAGTTGTCTCTCTCACCAACGAGGCCCACTGTCTATTCAACGTGCTTAATCAGCTGAAAACCTGCCAGCAGGGTCTGACTAGTACCAATGGTGCTGGTCACACGGGGAAGACAAGCCCTGACAGTCACCGACAGCCCGTAGTGGCCGAGGGCCGGCCATCAGCTTGGTGTGTCATGGGCCTACCATCGTCAAAACACCAAATGAAGGAATATCTTTTAGAAGAACGGTGTTCATCCCTCAAGAAGAGGTGCACTGAAAATGTTCTGGTGACATGTCACCTCACTGAAATGCTTTATGTTGGCTTTTCCATTCATCTGTCACCTGTCTGTAAGTAGTATATAAAGTCATGCAGGTACCTCATTACAGAGAGAATTAAGCCTTGCACCCACTACATCCCATCAGCAACAGGAAACAATCCAGTATCAAGACATAAACAAAGATATGGTCTCAATTTCAGCAGATCTCATCATTATTCCCCATTTATAGCATGCATATCAATCAGAAATGACTCTCATAATATACATCATACTGGCTCAAATACAGTAAATCTTAAACCATGAATATTAATATTTTTTCCTCAACTTGTTTTGGCAAAGCAAATCCAGAGGTTACCTAGTAGAGAGGGCGCACAGTGAACCCACAGCAACCACATATTTGGCAGGGCCCCATCCCACATATTCAAAGGCCATGGGTAGAGGGCTCTTCTCATCCAGCAGGTAGTAGGGCATCATCAGAGTCAGTGCAGCAGACACACCAAAGTAGGCCAGGAAACACACAGTCAGTGACACCACGATGCCAATGGGAATGGCCCTCTGAGGGTTCTTCACCTCCTCACCTGTCACAAACATGGGGAAAGATCATTACATTTAGTTTGTCATGAAGTCAAACCACACAAAGTCGAAACCTATCAGTCTCACCTGTTGTTGCAATACAGTCGAATCCAACAAAAGCATAGAAGCAGGTGGCAGCTCCAGCTAAGGTCCCACTGAAGCCATAGGGCATAAATCCTCCAACTCCATAATCACTGCTCACATTGGCCGTCACTGACAAGTTCCTGAAATATTTTACAACACCACTTGGGCTAAAAATGGAGATGACAAACTGCCTACTGCCTTCTCAGAGCACAAACAGACCTGACTGACAGTGCACTGATAGCAATGTTGTTCTTTAGCCATGTCTTTAAATTCAGCGCAGTGAAGTTTACATGTCTTACTGTACCTGTGATTTTTGCTGCAAATGTCTAATTTACTGCCTTTTAATCAGCTCAACACGTGATACGATTACAACATAGTTACCTCGTAACTATGGTGACATTTACGAGGGATTCTTCTGTTATCTTCCAGTTGTGTGCGTCCCCTTTGACGAAGCCGGAGATGATGACAAACAAGAGCACGAGCACGTTGATGGAAGTGAAGATTTTATTGACCCAGGCTGACTCTTTCACACCAAATGACAGGAGTCCTGATCGAGCACAAAGTCATTTAACCCGTTAATGCCCATAAAGTCTTTGCTCATATCATTATTATTAATCACTATTGTGAAGTTGTGTCACTTAACCCAAAAACCTAACATTTTTCCAGGAGCTAAGGAGCCAACACCAGTTGCATTTTTGACAACTGAGCATGATGCTCATAAAAAGACTAAGCAATGTTACAGCAGCATCTTGGTGAAGTTGTATACAGTTGTATATGTTATTGTCATTTCATAATAAAGATCTGAAGAGCTGGGTAGAGCTTGGCGGAGCGTAGCAGCAGGTAGTAGAGCACAGTGGAGCAGGGGGAAGGGAGCTATCAAATAAGCTATACATCTGTGGTACGTAAAAACTGTGGATTGTTTCTGCTCTGATGTAATAATCGTGTTGGCACACTGTCAGCAAAAAGCCCATGGTGAAGATTTAGCCTGAGGGTCATAAAGGTGGAATGTAACTACAACGTGTCTACTTGCACAGTCATGAATCTGACCACAGGAAATGAATTTTAAACTGTCAGATGCTAGAGTGGAGCTTCTCGGTGGCCCGAGGTTGTAAAGAAACTGTAGTACTGGACAGTTCCCAGTTGCAATCATGCATGACAGTGGGAAAGAGAAGCAGGGTGCTGCTGAATGATAAGGGAGTTTTTGAAATGGAAGGGGAGCAAATGCAGGCTCCCAACGGACTGACAAAACTCTGGGGTGCATGTGTCCTATCCCATTAGCCACCATCATCCTACATCTCTTCGTTGAATCATGCCAGCTGTGGCTCATAAAAATAAACAGCTGATCTAATTTCCCTTTCTTTTTTCCATGATATCCATCCTTTATTTGCAGCCTTACCAGAGAGCAGCAGTATCAGGCAGACAGCGAAGAAGTCAGGATACTGAGCCAAACCAGGAGAGTTCATGCTGAAGTAAGTCTTACAGAAAATCTCTATGTGTCCTCCGATCATTTCATCGAATGTGCCACTCCAAGCTCTGGCAACTGAGGAGGTACCTATGAGAAAACAAAAAGTAAACACCATGAAGAACCAGTAGCTTTTAAAAAAAAAAAAACATGAGCCACAGATTGTCACTAACTCACCAATCACGTAGGAAAGAATGAGGTTCCAACCAGTGATGAAGGCCCATATCTCCCCTACAGTCACATAACTGTAAAGGTAAGCAGAGCCTGTTTTGGGGACACGGGCGCCAAACTCAGCGTAACACAGTCCAGCCATGACAGAGGCCAGGGCGGCAATTAGGAAGGAGATGACAATGCTGGGGCCCGAGTTGCTCTTGGCTACCTCACCAGCCAGGATATAGACGCCGGCGCCCAGAGTGCTGCCGACCCCCAGGGCGATCAGGTCAACGGTTCCCAGGCAGCGGCAGAGCTTGGACTCCTCCAGGTTGCTCAGGTCAACCACTTTTCTGCGCACCAGGGAGCGGCCAAATGACAGAACTTGTTCCAGCATGTTGCCACCTGTGCAGCCAAGTGATTACATCCCATCTGTACTACTGTTCAACTCTAACATTCAAGAGAAGGTACAAGAACTGTGAAATCAAATGATCGTGTCTGATTTAACTCCACCTGCTTTGCTATTGCAGCTGTTCTCTTAATAAATACTGAAAGTAAATTACATAAAATATGAGCATGAAACAAATCTGGGGCTAGGACTGTTGACAGCAAGGTTAACCCTACAAATGATAAAGTCCTTTTTAGAAAGCCAAAAGCTACAATGGGATAAAGTTATGCAATCAACATCTAGTGCTTGGGATTATGGTGCAGATCCAATTGTAATCAAAGGGCTGCTATCAAAGGAGATGTGAAGTCATCAATATGACAAAGATTTAGGGAGCCCTCTTTACCATTTACTTTACTAAGTACATAACAGGGAGAAACTGCAGGGGTTGTTTTCTTTTCATTATTCTGTATCTAAAAATATCTCTTTTCATTTATGTTTCCTAAGGAAGCTTCCTAAAGCATTTGCATGAATACAATTGCTGAGGAAACGAATCCCTGCTCTCCAGTGAACAGTTACTAGCATGCGTTTGAAGTTATGACAGCTCCGTTGAACAAAAACTTTGACTGTAAATTAATACCGACGACCATCCAAATATGCACTGATCTCTATTTCAGTGTGGATGCTCAGACCAAGAGGTGAGTTTTGGATGTGCTAGGTCATTAACGTTATAATGTGGACCATATTACAGTCTCTTCACGAATACAGGGGCTGAAACCTGCAGATCGCAGAAATCCAAATGAAATCTACAAGTGAAGGATCAGTTGTGGAAATAACAGCACAAAACAGCAGTAATTTAGCCTTTCAAGGTTGTTGAAATCTTTCCCGACTTGTCACATATACAGTATTTCACACCACAGTGACAAAGCTGTAGCATATATCTTAAACTGAAAATGTTAAAATTCGCCACAAACTGCAGGGTAACAAACAACCCAGAGCTATTGCAAAAATTCTGACTATGACTTCTAAATTCATGGATAACCACTGAACAAATATGTTACATGTTTTTCTACTCACTAGAGACACACACCTACCTGTTAGAAAGTTCAAACACTGAAACAAGAAGACTGTCAAACTGCCTTTCTTCCAGCTTCTTTCTGCAGATCAGTTGCACATGAGGCACAGATAAAAGTCAACCTATTACTAATTATTCCATGAACTAGAGCCTCAAAACCAGTTTGCTCAAAAGTCACTATGCTAGCACGTACAGTGTGCAGAGCAGTATTATTCCTCCTCCCTTTTGTCCCCAGCATTTAAGCCAACCCCAAAACTGTCTGGGAGTGACAGCCCTGAGAAGGGAGGTGGGAGAGGAGAGGGAGAGACAGAGAGAGAGTGTGTGTGTTTGTGTGTGTGTGTGTGTGTGTGTGTGTGTGTGTGTGTGTGTGTGTGTGTGTGTGCGCTACCTCCATGCTTGTGATTTGGGGGATATTACTTTGTGGAGGTAACACTGCACCACAGGCTCCCATTGAGAAGACAGGAGGGTGATTTTCACAGTAGAAATTGGGATTTCACACACTGAGGTCAGATAGGTCCCAGCTGCTTCTGACTGCTGATAAATGATTAGGCAACTGATGCTGACAAACATTGAGACAGACCGTGTTTACCCAGTGCAGCCCACAGGAGTACTGCTAAAAGCATGGGTGCCGATTGACCAATGAGGGATGGATGAGCTACTGGGGGTTTAAGTCCTCCTAATGGGGGGGAAGGTATTGCTCAATGTTCTCTGAGCTATTGAACTCAATGGCATTACCAAATCAATAGCACACTCACTCTAGTACTGTACAGCAACAAAACTCTGGCAGCTCCACAACAACTTTAGCATTTTTTTTAAATCAAACACCGCCTGTGAATTATAACTAAGGTTGAGTTTGTAGTGTCATTGCCAAGACCAGCTCAAACCAGCTTAAGATCTCAGTGGGAAGGTGGCAGCTGCGCCCTAGAAACACCAACCAACCCACAGACCAGAGGCTCGGCAACATGACAACAGCCAGCTCTCTCAGTTTGTCCATCCAACCAAGCATCATGGCCGATCGCCCACCAAACCTTGGCTGCAGGGGCTGATTATCTGACCTGCATGCTGATGGGAAAGCAAATACTTTGCTTAGTGGTGGGCTGACTGGAGACCCTACTGTTAAAGCCAGTGTGTGTGTGTTTAACATGTTTCTAAAACACACACACCTTTATCTACAATACAACTGCCACTATCAGATTTAACACAAATACAGCCCACAGGCTATATTTCAGTCCTAACAGAGGGTATAAATAAAGCTCCTGTCAAATGATTACAGGGCATAAAGGAACAAAAACTGGAGGACATTTCTAGCTACTCAGACAAGTTGTAGCAGATCATTAAAGCTGGTGAATTGGGTATTCATCTTGTTACATTAATGCAGTTTTAAATATTTATTAACAAACATAACCTAGATTCCCCCCTTTGCCAACTAAACTACACATAGGACCAAACGGTATCTGTAGCTGTATGTATAGTCATGTGAACTGCAATACACATGAAATCAGCTTCAGATATATATTTTAAAGTGTAACATTTAAAAATGTCAAACTGATGTTTCTGAGAAAGGCCTTAGGATTTACGTAATGCCATGATGTCCTCCTGCACCACAAACATACTTGCTTTTGGAACTTGCATTAGGTTTCTTCACATGCAGATCGTCACTGTAACCATGGAAAGAATGGAGAGGAGTGACTGGCTCACCGTAGTTCATTGTTGACCTGCGTTAATTGTATGAAGCCAATTGAATGCATTTGCCCTCCGATGGCTGAGTGACCTAGCTGGGATATGGTCAACAGATTGAGTGGTGTTTGCCTTACGGACAGCGGGCCTGCTTGCGCCAGTTAACACTGATGTCACTAGGAAATGTTAGAGTGAACAATTACGGATAAGGTAGACAACAGGTGCAAGTGGCCTCAATAAGCTACTTACAGCTAGATCTGACAACAATATACTAGGTTTATACTGTATGAACAGTGCAGGTTAACATAAAGGACAAAGCAAAAGATAACTAGGGGTAATGGAATTAAAGTGTTTCTACTTCCTTTTGCATAGTAAAGAAATCAATATAAAAATAAATACCAAAGTCTAGTTCATATAAAATGACAATCTCGCTGCCAAGTTGAACCTATAACCTGAATTATCTTTAGCATTTTCACCTGTCTCAGCAGCTCAATGAAAAAATGTAAAGAAATAAGCGGAGACTAATATGAGCCATGGTTTAAATGTTGTATCTCTTGCATGCAGTAAATGAGTACAAAGCCTTTTCATATTACATTTTAAGAACTGTCTGGGGACTCTAGCCTGAAGTTATTACCTGTTCTTAGATTGACTAAAAGTGATTTACTGTGTTTGTCTAGATCAGTGTACACACCTAGTCCAGTGTTTAATAGGTCTGACTCTGGTTTTAAAAAAAGAAAACTATATTTGCTGAGATTTAAATCTAATAATGTGACCTTTCATAGTTCCGGACAATGGTCAAATATTTGGACGTGGGTCACGGTACAATAGCTTTAATCTCAGAAAAATATACTGAACATTTAGTGCCATCTTTTGTTCCAACACATTTGGCAACAGCGCCAGATTCTTAAAATATAGTCTGTGGTATCCAAGAATCATTTGGCCTGTGGGTTAACTGTAGTGACAGGTTGGCTTTACACCAAGTCCCTCAGCCTGCAATGACTCTTCCAAAAATGAATTCCACACTTAGGGATATGGGTTCTTGTAAAATTGGCTGATATGAATGGGGGATTTCTGAAGTTTACAACTCTAAATAAATATTTGGCTTCAAACCTTCTCCTTTACGGTGTCAAGCTCATCTCCAAGCTTTTTATTTTAATATCTGTGATAAAACATAACAAGCAAGCACAAATATCAGCTCAGTCACCAAGGCTGGAATTATGTTAATCTACTGCTGCTTAGTTTAACTCACCACTTTTGTTGTTTTCTGTCTGCTGTCAACACTGAATTTAACACAGCACAATATAAAAAGAAGATAATGGAACAGTAGGACTTACTCCTTTGTCCCCCAGCCCTGCTTCATTGATCCTGCTTTCTATCTTCCATCCAAAAGTCCTCTGCTGACCTTTCACCTTTTCTTGACACAGTTCCAACACTCTGAGTTGGCTGACTCTCCTTATGCCCCTTTAATTTTGTCCAATATATCAATGCCAACTCGGTTCTTAAATCCAGAGGCATTTCGCCCATTTCTGCTTGTAGAGCTGAAACTGATGTTGTCATTATGGCCCCACAACCGAGTCTTAAAATTGCATGGTGTTCAACTTTTTCAACAGTCTTGCATTCTGATTCATATACTACACTACCATAATCTAACAGATATGATTAAATCAAGCTACTGGCTCCCCACTCCTTACCCCTCAAACATCTAATAACATTTATTACCTTGCATTTTTCAATAATTTTTCTTTTATGTAGTGCCCAAATAATCTTATCAAACCAAATCCCCAAATATCTAAAACAGTCTACTTTGTCCAGACCATCTCCGTACAGCTTAAGATTAACTTGAGTATCAGATCTTCTTTTTGTAAAACTCTAAAACCCCAATCTAATGCCCATGTTTCTACATTCCCTTTTGCTTCTTGTAATTTCTTAGCTACGAATTCTAAATGTCTACCTCTTTTCCACACAACTCCATCATGTGCAAATAGGGAAACTACAACAGATGTATTGTACTAAATACATCATTTATGGTAGTAGAAAATACTAGACTTATACTGAGGTGTTCCATCTTCTACTAAATAACTATCACTAAACTTCTATCCTATTCCTACTGATATTAACCTACCATTTGAGAAATTAGCTTGATAATCAATTCCTCTTTCCAAAGCACATCATAAGTCATAACAAACAGCCATTTTTTTTTATTTGAGCCTTCTTAATTTCATGTTTTAAACATAAAGCCCTGTCTATAGTGCAGTATATCTGCCTTTTCTGAAATCACTTTGATAGTCCTTTGACTTACTTTCACGTTCTCTGTTGTCATTTCTGTAAAAACACGCAAAATCATACTTTTCTAAGTTACTCTCACCATCATTTTAAGCTCTTAGTTATCAATAAATCACTTAATTAATATCCTTTAAGCAATTTCAGTGAAGATGTGTAGCGTGACACATTTGAATCGCGTTACTTTTCGCGGTGAACACCTACTTAAACAGCAGCCCAGTGAGCACCTGAACTGCCCGTGGCGTTTTCCTCAGGCCACAGCTGGAGACGTAGCGGGGTTTAGGACCCTGCGGTGTCGGCTCCGCGGGTAAAGCTCGGGCTGCATCGGGCTGATGGCAGCTCCTTCCTGGGCGCCGCGGACCAGCTGCCTCGGTGACTGACGCTTCACACAACACCCAGACACACATGCTGCTCTGTGGGTAGTTCGGTGACAGGTTCGGCAGCCGCAGGAAGCCGCGGGTCATCTGTTCAGCTGCCGAATGGGCGCGGGTCTGACTGCGGTGATTTAACCTTTTCTACTTGGGGTGATTTAGCTCCACTTCCGCACTGGACACTTTCACTCGAGCCGTCATCATGTGCACTCATGGTTCATGCAAAATTTTAATTCAGATAATTAAGCAAACGTGCATGTTTAAACGGAGTGTGCGCGCCACGTAGTCACCCCGGGTCTTCCTGTTGATTTGGCAGCTGGGTGTGTTTGTGTATCAGTGCAATTAAAACACGTGTGCAGGTGTGTCACAGCCACAGTTGTGACACACCTGCACACGTAGTTGCTCGTGTGCAGGTGTTTGATGCAGGTTGTCCGCATCCGCCTCTAGGTGGAGAACGTCAGGCTGCTCGACAGAGTGTTTCCCAGAAAGAGGAGGGTGGGCACCCTCTACCTGACGGCCACACACACCATCTTTGTAGAGAATGAGGCTGGTGTGCGAAATGAAACATGGGTAGGCATCATCTCAATTCAAGGAAGGAGTAGAAATCAATCAGAAATGTTTAGATAACGTATAACGTTTGCTTTGTTTATATTCTTTATTCACTGTGTGCATTCATGCATGCTATAGCCTACAGTGTGTTTGCAATCTAAAACATAAAATAAATGCATATATTTGCCTTCCATTCATCTTTTCAGGTGCTTCACAGTTTGGTGTGCAGTGTGGAGAAACAAGCTGCTGCAGCCTCCGGATGTCCTCTGCTCATTCACTGTAAGAACTTCCAGGTTCTTCATTTTGTCATTCCTGGAGAGCGAGAATGCCACGACGTTCACCTGTCCCTGCAGCGTCTCTCCCAGCCAGGTGAGCTGTGGTTGAACGTCAGCTAAGGATGGAGTTATTGACATTCTTGCACAGGTGTAGTCTGATACTATTGATCTTTATGAGTTAGTTTTCCAGTTTGGATGAAACATCCACCTTGAGAATAATGTCTTGATACACTAGTATGAGAGTTACTGTTAGTTTACTCTGAAATTCACATCAAAATCTAAACCTCTCCTCTGCTTTTACAACACAACAAATAGGAGGTTTTGCTCATCAGACTTTAGCAGTGTTGTGCCTTGCAGAGAGTTACATGGAGCTGTATTGCTTCTCATATAAGCCTAACGTTGATGAGGAGAACAGACGGCAGGAGTGGGACTTCTTGGACCTCCAGGCTGATTACAGCCGAATGGGACTCCCAAACTCTCTGTGGAAACTTTCCCCCATCAACCAACACTACAAGGTCAGTGAGCTGGCATCTATGACCGGCTGTACTTTTTTTTTAACCTAATATGGACATCACAGTCTCTAATCCTTTTGCTATGTTGGTTTCAAAGGTGAGTGACACTTACCCTGCTGACCTGTTCGTACCTGAGTCAGCCATGCCTCCAGTTATAGTAGGGAGCTCCAAGTTCAGAAGCAGAGGCAGATTCCCTACTCTTTCGTACTACTACAAAGAAAATCATGTAAGTTGACTGTATACATTTTCTCTTTTTGTTTTCCAAATTTGTCCCATGACAGCTCGTATTAATTCAAGGGACATGAAGCATCTGTGCTTCTCAGTCTATCAAGCAATGAGTAGGGACGAAAGTCTCAGACCCTGCACAGCAATGCTATGAGGCTTGTTAGAAGAAAGCCTATCGACGTGTATATTTAGCAGAAGAATGTAGATAAGAGATCATGTATTAAGATGTAAAATGTCATGATGGCAGTGCTTCATTTATTTTGCTTGGCCTGTTTTTGTTGCTGCAGTGACCTGTGACACCAGTTAATCATTCTCAGCACTGTGTGGGCAGAGTTCCCTCTTCAAGCAGTCCAAGTTTTTGTATCATAAAAAGTCAGAAAATGAGTTCTGGAAGGTCATGGACCACTAAAATAAACTTGAATTAGCTGAGTTATTGATACTGTCTGCAGATGTATTCTGGGTTTTGTTTTATCATTTAGTTGTTCATCTGTGTATCTGACATAGACACTCGACCTGACATAAATCAAATTTGTTAAATGTGCTTTAAGTTATTGCCAGGTTACTGGTTCTGCTTTTGTTCATTAACCTACTGAACGTGTGAGTTGAGGGGTCGCTTCTGATAAAAGAACCTTTGCCATAACTTTGCTGGGCAGTACAGGACAGTTTGTGAAGAGGTCAAGCAAGACTGATGGCCAGTCTGTGATTCAGTCATACCATAAATCCTTACCATCACCTACAATGCATTTGCAGTTATTCATGTTTGCTCTATATCTGAATCAAGAATAAGCCAGAACATTCACAATTTACCCTGGTACTCCTTCACTGGACACGGAGTGCTTTATGTGTGCAAAGTCGGCTTTCCAGGGTTGAGGGTCCATTGCGTGGAGCTCAGTTCGTACAAAGGGGCTTCATTCTGGTTCGTGAGTCAGACGGGGGAATCGCACAACAATCTCTGGCACTTTCCTGTGGCTCCTAATGGAGAAATGAGAAATCGTGGGGTTGATTAATTTGGATTGAACATAGATGAGAAAAATACATACATTTGTATTCTGGTTGGTGCAAACGTATTGGATTTATTGTTTTTGTCCAAAATGTTGTGCTAAATTCACTTTGAATGAAATGTCAGAGGAGCAAACGTTTCTGCATGAAGCCCGAGTGCCTCTTGTCTCCTCCCAGGCCGCCATCTGCCGTAGCAGCCAGCCCCTGTCAGGTTTCAGCGCTCGCTGCCTGGAGGATGAACAGATGCTGCAGGCCATCTTGAGGTCCAATCCCAGCAGTGACTTCATGTATGTGGTGGACACCAGGCCTAAGGTGAGCCCTTTGTGCTTAAGGAATGGCCTGTGAAAACACAGCTCTTACACTACAGTGCTGTATGTTCAGGTGGGCTTTATTTTCCATACTGTGTTTTGCCATGTACTGGCTGAACCATTATCAGCAGACATTTGTTTCAATCCATGTTATTTTGCACTTAGAAAGTGTATCCTGGCTACTAATCATATGTCTTTGTAGCTGAATGCGATCGCAAACCGAGCTGCAGGAAAAGGCTACGAAAATGAAGACAACTACTCCAACATTAAGTTCCGGTTCATCGGCATAGAGAACATCCATGTTATGAGAAATAGCCAACAAAAAATGCTGGAAGGTAATTATCATGTCTCCTAAAATGATTTCTCCCACTGATTTTTAGAATATAGTGTGTGACAGTTTAAAGGCGACCACAGTCACTGTCACTGATGTTTCACCACATCAGTGTTTTGTGGAATGAATTGTACATTTTTCAATAGAGCAGAACCCCTCACTACACTTTGGTGTTTCATTTGCAGTCATGCAGACTGGACTGTGCTGCAGTCAGCCCTCAGATAAGTTCACAGGAGAATTTCTGTGTATCATGCAGGAGTGCTAGGAAGACTTTTGAATCCATCTGGATTTTATTTCAGAGCTATTTTGGTTTCCCGGAGTGGATAGTCCTGGGCTTTATCCCCCAAAGAGAGAGCAAGGGCGTGAGAATGATGTGATTTCAAGGCTGAAAAGTTATAACTGTTCTGAGTTGTGATAACTCTTTGCCCCCTGGCAGCACAAAGGAAGTCCTTTAAAAGCTCAAGGCAGAGCTTGCCTGGCTCTCTCTGCCCGATCGCACGCTTCATTAAGATTTAGACCCCCTGCCTGGCAGCATAAATTCAAACATGTCTTCTGAATGGAAGTACGCTCTCCTAAGTGACTTTCACAGGTCAGCAAACTGATGTAGTGTCAGCAAAAACACTTTGTCACCTCTGACAGCACCTTAATGCTTTTATAGTTATCTAAAAGTGTCTGAATTAAGGGTGGAAAAGTGATCAGTTGTCCCCAGCAAATGAAATGTCAACAGATTCATGACAAATATTTATGGTGGACCCAGAAGACAGACAAATACATTTTACAAGATAAACAGTACAGTGAGCCTTATAATACAGAATTAGATGTGTGTTTCACTGTCTGTCTCACCTGAGTTACTGTATTTGGGCATGACTTTGTCTTACTTATATTTAAATGCGCAATAACAAAAGTAAGTCTATGGTCTTGTTTGCAGCTCATGGTGGTTTATTTTATCCAAACGTTAAAGTCCACATGCTAATAGTCTCACAGTGACCATGCTAACATACTGATGATTAACAGTAACAAGTAAGTTCACCATTTGAGGTTAGCATGTTAGCACCAAAAATGCCCCATGTATCAAATGTGATCCAAAAAAAATAAACAAAATAATATGGCACATTTATTCCTATATGCCTGGACTGTCTGTCTATGCATAAATGGCAAAGAAAAAAATCTTGAATCTTGAATTTTCTTTTGGATTTTGTTAAAAGGTTTAATAAACATCTCAGTTCCAAAAAAATAGAATGTTCTGGCTATTTTGTGATGTGTCAGGCTTTACAGGGTTAAATCAATAGGCTCCATCCTCTGGGGACCATGAATGTCACTCAGTCCAATAGTTGTGTGTATATACAGTGGTGTGAAAAAGTGTTTGCCCCCTTACTGATTTCTTATCTTTTTGCATGTTTGTCACACTGTAATGTTTCAGATCGTCAAACAAATTTATATATGAGTCAAAGATAACACAAGTAAACACATCATGCAGTTTTTAAATGAAGGTTTTTATTATTAAGGGAAAACAAAATCCAAAACTATATAGCCCTGTGTGAACAAGTGTTGGCCCCCCTGTCATAATAACTGGTTGGGCCACCCTTAGCAGCAACAACTGCAATCAAGCGTTTTCGATAACTTGCCATGAGTCTTTTACAGCGCTGTGGAGGAATTTTGGCCCACTCATCTTGGCAGAATTGTTGTAAGTCAGCCACATTGGAGGGTTTTCGGGCATGAACCGCCTTTTTAAGGTCATGCCACAGCATCTCAATTGGATTCAGGTCAGGACTTTGACTAGGCCACTCCAAAGTCTTCATTTTGTTTTTCTTCAGCCATTCAGAAGTGGACTTGCTGGTGTGCTTTGGATCATTGTCCTGCTGCAGAACCCAAGTTCGCTTCAGCTTGAGATCACAAACGGATGGCCGGACATTCTCCTCCAGGATATTTTGGTACACAGCAGAATTCAGGGTTCCATTTATCACAGCA